TCCAGGGCTGCATGGCCCTGGAGAACTCCTTCAACAAGGTCGGCCTGGACCACGTCATTCTGGTCAAGTTGGCCTCCACAGCTGTCGTCTCCAAGATGATGGGTCTCAGCGAGGCTCAAACTCGGGATGCCATCTCGCAAGCGTTTGTCGATGGCCAGTCTATGCGTACTTACAGGCACTCGCCCAACACCATGTCGCGCAAGTCCTGGGCCGCTGGTGATGCTTGCCAGACCGCCGTCAACCTCGTGCTGAAGGTCATGAAGGGCGAGCAGGGTCTGCCTACTGTTCTCTCAGCTCCTACCTGGGGCTTCTACGACGTCAACTTTGGCGGCAAGCCCTTCCAGTTCCAGAGAGGCTACGGCAGCTACGTCATGGAGAACGTTCTCTTCAAGGTCTCTTATCCGGGTAAGACGACTCTTTCAGGTCAATGCTACTTGTGAGCCATTTGTTAATTTGGTCCAGCTGAGTTCCACTCACAGACTGCGGTCGAAGCGGCGCAGCGCCTGAACAAGAAGCTGGCAGCGATGGGTAAGAGCGCCAAAGACATTGAGGGTGTAGTGAACCGAACGCATGAGGCCTGCATTCGTATCATCGATAAGCAGTTCAAGCCTATGGAGAACTTTGCTGACCGTGATCACTGCGTTCAAGTAAGTCTCACCCTTCGTGGTTCGCCGGCTGTGCTGACATGATGGTAGTACATGGTCTCCACCATGTTTGTCTTCAACCGCCTTGAAGCCACTGACTACCCAGATGACAGCGAAGCTGCTACATCGGAACTCGTCGAGTCTCTCCGCCAGCGCATTAGCTGTGTAGAGGACCCGCAATTCACCAAGGATTACCACGACCCTGAGAAGCGCACCATCTCCAACGCCTTGACCGTAACGCTCAAGGACGGAACCGTGCTGGAGGAAGAGGTTGTCGAGGCTCCGCTTGGCCATCGGTTGCGTCGTGAGGAAGCAAAGCCCGAGATTCTTGCCAAGTACAAGAGGCATCTCGGCCCGCACTACCCGTCGCAACACGTTGACAAGCTCGTCGCATTAGCGCAGGACCCCAAGTCGCTCGATAACATGGACATCGACGAGTACGTTGATCTGTACGTGAAGAACTAGAAATCCAGATTAGCTAGATTGAGTGACTTCGCGATGGGCGCGCCTCGGCATGGCTGACTATCGCGTTATCGCGTCGTCGCTAATGCAACTAGACGCGGTTGAACGACCTCCCGAAATCGGGAACGTGCGCTTCCGCCTTATTACTGCTTTCTATATCCCTGTCTTTTTCACCAAAAGTTACTTCCAGCCGTCACACCGAAGCCACCGCATTGACCCCCTAGTATATTCTTGCAATATTCCACCTTCGTCGCGTGATCCTAGCCTGCCGACATATCTGTACGACCGTAATATCGGATGCGTTATGACGACGTCGTCACGGCCGAGAGAAGTCTCCGGATCGATATCGAGGCTGTGGGGTTGTCTTCCTAACCCAACGTTGAGCAGAAACTACCGACATAGGCCGTCCCGGGTTTCCTTGCCCTCCCCACGGGGAATCCCTCACGAGCTGAGCACGGAGTGGAGGCGCCGACCGCCAACTGGTTCAGCTTGGGAGCTATCTATCCGGGATCGACGGAAGCTGGTCTGGGACAATGTGCCATCATCGGGCTCGTCTGACTGTGATGCTTACGGACATTGGTACCGTATACTCCAGAGATGAATTGTGGATGGTGTCGCCGCAAGGTTTGATGATCCAGATGACACGACAGTGCGCCTCATGGCTGCTTCCCCAATAAGTACTTCTTGAGAGCACCAAGTCTAGCCTGTGCTCATTACCAATCTTTGTTCACTCGAACGCTCCTGCGTTGTTACCAATTTGGCCAACGTCACCTGTCAGTTGCCCTTGTCTTCCAAGGTTACCGTCCTCCCGCCTATCTCCTCGGACCCTGGTTTCGTTCCCGCGTACCAGCAACATGTCACTCACACCGAAGAGCCCTCTTGCTAGCCATCGTAGCGGTGATTCGCTCGATGATGCAGAAAAGGGCATGTACGATAGTACACTGGAGTTGACCGCACCTGGCTTTGTGTATATGGAGCCGAAGAGGTCGACATATACTGTTTCGTCATTACTTCCCGCTTCCCCTGTTCACCAAGGCATAACACCATGCACAAGCGTACCGGAGCTCTCACTCTCACTGCCAAAGGGACGGAAACCTACCGATGCTGCTGCACTGGACACTACCGTGAAGAAACCGGCAGGAGCCAAACCTCAAAAGCCAAAGATCAGCCGGTGGATCCTTTTTGACCTCTGGTTTAATACATACAGGAAGTTCTTCGTATTCGTCGTCTCACTAAACCTCACGGGGATCATCTTGACGGCATGTGGTCGCTTCAAATATGGCGAGGAACACCTCGGTGCTTTGGTACTGGGAAACCTACTCTCTGCCATCTTGTTCAGAAACGAGTTGTGGATGCGCTTCTTATACATGGTCGCTATATACGGGCTAGGGGTATGTACTTCCCCTGTCTCTATCACGAGTCTTTCTGACCAGTCATCGTAGTGGGCACCAGTATGCGTAAAGCTAGCTGCAACATCTGTCCTGCAGCACGTCGGGGGAATACATTCTGGATGCGCATTGTCTGGGGCTGCGTAAGTAGACTTGCATACATCTACTGCAAATAGTACTAACAGAAAGCCCAGTTGGCTCATCTACAAGTGCGTCGACATCATCAGATATCGTGCCGTACAGCACCCTGCTGTGATCGCTAGCGGTATCATCACCAACGTCTTCATCATCATCTCGGTCCTGAGCGCCTTCCCTTGGGTTCGCAAGTGAGTAGTTCCAACGGACGTGTCACTCTGTGACACCATGCTTACGCCCTGGTCAGCACCTATCACAACGTTTTCGAGAAGCATCACCGATTTGTTGGATGGCTAGGCCTCGCAGTATGCATCCCGATTGCGTTCTTCCGAGAACTCATACTAATGCTCGCTAGATGACATGGGTTTTCGTGGTCATGGGCAACACCTACGACATCAAGCGTGGTGAGTGGAGGACCGACGCGCACAGCCTACTCAGTGCGCAAGAGCTTTGGTTCGCTGTCTTCATGACAGTATTGTAGGGTCGCCCACACTTCAACCAGTTTCCCTTACTGACCAAGTTTAGCATTCTCATCCCATGGGTCACTCTCAGAGAGGTGCCAGTCGAAGTCGAGATCCCCTCACCAAAAGTTGCTGTTCTCAAGTTTGAGCGCGGCATGCAGCAAGGTCTTCTAGGAAGAATCAGTCGTACGTCCATCATGGAGTACCACGCCTTCGGCATCATCAGCGAGGGACGCAATGCTACCCATCATTACATGATTTGTGGTGTTCAGGGAGACTTCACCAAGAACCTTGTCGCCAATCCACCAAAGACCGTATGGACAAGACAGCTCAAGTTCGGTATGTTCTTGCATAATTCCAATTGCATCTCCGTTGCTAACACCATTACAGCCGGCGTCGGCCACGCCTCCGCGATGTTCAAACGCGGTATCCGCATCTGCACCGGTACTGGCATTGGCGCCGCCCTCTCTACCTGCATCCAATCCCCCAACTGGTTCCTTATCTGGATCGGCTCCGACCAAGAGCGCACATTCGGCCCCACCGTCACAGGTCTCATCCACAAGCACATTGAGCCCGAGCGCATGATCCTCTGGGACAGCAAGAAGCGGGGTGGCCGCCCGGACACAATGGAGTTGTTGAGAGATACATGGAAGAGATTCGGCGCTGAGGTCATCTTCATTACGAGCAACAGCCAGGGCAACGATGAGATGATGCAAGGATGTGCCAAGGAGGGCATGCATGCTTTTGGTACTTTATGGGACTTTTAGAGTTTTGACATGAACTCAATCTTAGACGGAGACGGGTCGGTTCAACATAGTACAGAGAAATATGAACTACAGGATGTTGAGGAACATAGCGGCATTGCGCATCTTGCGGATGGAGTTTTGGATTTTCTCTTAGAGGTGCATTGGGTAGACAAATGGCTTTTCTGGCTTTACTTTCAAGTTGGTAGCAGTGCAAGTATAATAGCAAAACACGCGGCATCATCGCAGCGACGCCAGCTCTCAAGACGGACAATTTTGCATGTGACATCAACGTAATCCAAGAACACAGTCAGCAAAACGAAATCACATATCTCGGTGGTAATACAAAGTCTCAGATAGCGATAGCGATACCGACCACCTACCACACAGCCGGCTCACCAGCCGCCCCCAAGGTCCAGATCCCACCATCGCACCCACCATCCTCGCAAGTAGTACCTACCCACTACATCCCGCACACACTACCACATACACGGCGCACGGTAGTCTTGGCCCCACATAGTCCCATACCGTCCGATCGCCAAGGTGCGCATTCCCTCACGTGGTAATAACAACCGGCTGATATAGGTACCTGATCCGCGAAAACGGCGCTATTGGGGTATGCTCGCAATATATATTTAATTGGGGTGGGCTGTGCGTGGAAACACACTAGAACATTGTATATACATCACATGCGATGCGCCCTTTCATCGTCGATGGGGAAAAAAAGAACGAGATTGTGGGTTCTGGTGGTGGAGGTACAAGTGTCATGTACCTGAGGCCATTGTGGCGCTTCGTGGGGTTGGGCTGCGATGAGTGTTTTCGCTTGCAGGTGGGATTATGTTTTTCGGAGCGAGATTCCGTTAGTGAGGCGGAGTGTGGATGTAGTACCTAGGTAGTTACGACGTCATAGTTTGAGTTTTGGTGTATTGGAAGAAAGGAACGGGGATATAGGTCGTTGCTTCACCCAAGAATATGTCTGACACGGGAGATCTTCAGGCATACGATGCTACATTACAGAACGGAGACGTCCGGCTCGGTGCGATGGTCCCGTTCAACTAGCAAAAACTTAAGCTTTTTGTCTACCCCAACAAGCATCGGTCTTACTCAGCAGGATGAAGGAACTCGGGGAACCAGGGTCTTGCTAGTGATGCTAAGCCTATAAATAGCTCACGACGCGAACATATACTTCCGGCCTTCCTCGCTGCTTATCCAATCTGTGGGATAGCCTAGTTCAGATAGCAATCTCTGCACTATTTGGCTTCCGAAACCACTGAAGTGATGAGCCATTTCGACTGCCTTCGGCCCGTAAATCTTGAGCATGGAAACCATATCGTTGATGTGCGCATCTGTAAGAGATAGTCCCGGCTCTATGTAAAAACGTTAGTGATATGTAGTCAAGGCAGTGACAAACGTTGGCACAAGGTAATGCCGATACCGGAACGTTTGCTAATAGCATTTGCGGTAAATGGATGAATGGAAAGGGCTGGATTGAAAGCTCACGTACCATCTCGATCTGCGCTGATGGATATAGAGTAGTCAAACTCCACTCCATGTGCAACGTATGAGTTCTTGATGTCCCAGAAATTGAAGGGCAACGAATGAGCGCCTGTGATCATGTCTGAGTATGCTACGCGGATCTTCTTCAAGTTTAGACGATTTGCTTGTAGGAGAAGAGCGCTTTTGAAGAGATCGCAATATCCATCATGGTAGTTGTGGGATACCATTGTAGCCGTTGTAGACAGAAACAACTCTTGTAGCCTATGGGGAAGTATATCCCGCATCCGAGGGTATTTCCAATTTCCTTCGCCGGTATAGTTCATAGGCGGTGTACCAAGGAGTACTGGAAATGATGTAGAGAGGTTTTCCAGGGCATGTAATCGGTGGAAACCATCGATGCGCGCGTGGGTCAGATCAGGCTCATCCCAACAGTCATCATCTTCTGGAGCAAGGTGCAAAACCCGCAGCGAGTCTTGCTGTTGCTCAAGGTCAGACATGATGTTCGGTAAAACATGTGTTGACCCGTGATACTTCGAACCGGCATACTCAAATCTTGATAGCTGCTTGCAGGAAGTGATCATGAGCTTCGTCCATGTACACGGGATGTCGACGCCGTAGAGTATGAGCGTCGAGACCGACGAAGACCGCTTCTGAACTGGCCATTTTATATTTTCTTCGGCCAGCTTGTATGAATCCGTCATAGCGTTCAGACGAACCACTTGAAGACTTGGTAAAGCAAAAAGGTGGCCTACAAGAGGAGTAATGACATTCTGCATGTCTGTGTCGATAATCTGGAGGTTGCCATAGACTGGATCGTGTGTGGCGTTGACTAAGTTGCTTTGCACACCCTGGATGATAGGATAAAGCCATATGGGGAGCTCATCGGGCACCGTTTCTATGTGCAGGGCGCCCATGATGAACTTTCGCAGGTTGGGTGATCTCGCGACAAGTAATGCGAGCTGAACTTGAGCGGGATCTTTCTCAAGTATTTCCCATACATTCTCTGGCCAATCTCCTTGGGTCGTCAAAGCTGCCTTGAGCTCTTCTTTTGCCAGTCCATCGTAAAATGACCTTCCATCCCACCTAGCATCGCTCAACACCTCTATGTGCCTGCATTCTGGATATTTACCATGATACCGCTCGGTCTGTGCTCGTTGTGCGAAAGGTCCGACCGGGTGCCGGGATTCCCATACGCATTTCTGACGGAGAATGTCCCTTGTGACATGAGACAGACTGCGACAGGTGCGCGCTAAAGCGTAGAGTGTTGAGTAGGTGGTTGGAAGGTCGTATTCGCGAACATCATTATCCAGCTCAGCTTGCTGGCGCTGATCGTCGAACAAGTGATTGAAGATAAGAGTGAGGATTTCATTGGGAAGGGCGTGGAGCATAGAATGACTTGCAATGACCTCGGCGCACATGCTGTGGGTTTACGCCCATTGATGGTATGCGTGTGGAATATGCGTGTGTAAAGGTTGGATTGTCGTTTTCAGCAAAAGAACGGGAGATTCATGCGTGGATGAGACTCTTGGCGGATGCAGGCATGTTGCCGGGCAACGATGTTCAGTCGTTGAAACTGTGCCTCTCAAAAACGACAGGTACATTCGCTTGCACCAGGCACATGTGACGTATGTTGATCCTGTTTAATATAGCCTCATCGGCGCATGAGTGTTCATCTTCGGAGAGCGAAATACGCTGTGTTGGCAAAGAGCATGACTGATCGTATTCAGACCACATAGTGACCAGTTCCAGAAAGAGATTGAATCACACTGCAAGTGGGCCTATTTAGCACCGTCCAAGTGCTGCCAGACGGCCAGTATTGACTGTAATGCAGCCGCTTATGGCGCCCGTAGTTCCTTATTGTGTCTTTTTATCCGGTCCAGCAGTCCCTCTCAGCTTATTCAGCTTGAACGTCCTGGTGAAGTAAAGATCAAGCGCCGCAGTCGGTAGATACGTCCACGCGAACCACACGACCCAGCTCATCTTGCCCTCCCATATCCATCTCGTCTTGGAGAGTATGCCGTCTCCAGCAAGCACCTGCCTCACGCAACTGCTTGCGTATTGCTTGGTATCCATGCCCAACTCTTGACTGTGTTTCAATCTTCGCTCGTACTCGGCAGCAAGCGGCTGCATGTAGGAGCCCGGTGGCAAGGTTCGGTGCGTTCGCGCGATGTTCGATGTGACGCCGCCAGTCACGACGTTAATGACGCGTACGCCTAGCGGAGCGAGTTCGACGCGTAGGGTGTCGGAGTAGGCGTGCAGTGCAGCCTTGGAAGCATTGTATGGTGCGCCCCACACATAAGGCATGATGCCAGCTAACGACCCTGTCTGTACAATTGTACCCTTCGCTTCGACCACAAGAGGGGTAAAGGTCTTGCACATCTCCATGACGGAGAAGACGTTGACTTGGAAAAGTTCCTGCAGCTCATCCTCGTCGTAGTCCAGCGCTGGTACAACATAGTTGCGTCCAGCATTGTTGTACAGTACGTCGAGTTTGCCTCCTGTGATCTCAGTGACGCGCTGGTGAAGTGCGCGTATGGATTCCTTGTGGGGGAGTTCGAGGGGTAGATATGTGATGTTGGGGTGCGGCGAGGTGTATTTGGACGGATCGCGGACGGTGCCCAGGACTTGGAAGCCTATATACACCGATTAGCAACCAAGAATCGTGAAGACATGGTGTTATGCTGACCTCGTTCGGCGAACTCCAGCGCGAGATAGTGCCCAATGCCGCCGGGCGTACATCTGCTCGCGTCAATTGGAGCTGGGAAGAGCTAAGCCTACGACTGTCGCGACTTGTAGCAGTACTTACCCCGTGACTAACGCGATTTGCGTTCTCTTTGGTTCGGCCATTGTGTGTAGTGACAGCTGCCAAAGTGTCGATGGTAACAGACGTCACAGCTCGCGATGCGCATTATTCAGATCCGCGCCTCGGTTGTTCCTGCCACTAGCGCGTCGACGTCACACACGCCCTGTCCGTATCTTGAACCCCCCAACTGACCTATCATGTCGTCGGCTACCACAATGCCTGACTAGCATTTGTTCCCGAGCGTTCCATCAGGATATGGAGCTTAGCTGATGATGTTCCTTTTGGGATTCTGGATTCTGTTTCCTTTCCTCCACTTTTGCACTTGCACATTCATCGATTGATTGCCGTTGCGACTGCGGATCCGCCTCCGAAGTACACTATAATCATAGTCTTGAGATATACAGGATTCAAAAAAAAAATCATGACGGCGTCACAATGGCTGGGCGAGCGTGTTCCGACGCTTCTCCGCCCGTCCATATTGCTTTTCATAGCAGCATATCGTGAGTAGCATTGCAGCTATCATATAGATTCCCTATACTGACTTACACATAGACTTCGTAATGACCATGTTTGAAGTCGTGTTCTATGACTGGCGCCCTTTTTCTCTCTTCAACATCACCAAACTCCGGTTCAAGGCCTTCGCCCGCCTCTGGAAGAATAACGGCGAAGCAATGTCCGCTGAAATGCCCGGCCCGACGTTCTCGCTTTTGGCCCAGTGCAAAGGCGTTGTCCTTGACATCGGCCCTGGATCCGGAGAGATGCTTTCACGTTTTAACCCGGATATTATCACTGCTGTGTACGGGGCTGAGCCTGCCGAAGACTTGCACCCAGGGTTGCTGAAGAACGCGGAGAAGAGAGGGTTTGGTAGCAAGTTCCACGCCATGGTCTGTGGCGCGGAGCCGGAGAGTCTAATTCCAGCATTGCACAAGAGCGGGATTCTGGATGTTAGTGGAAAAGGCGGGTTGGCATCTGATGGTGTATTCGATGAGATCTGCTGCACTCGCGTGCTTTGTGGTGTTCCCCACCCAGAGCAGACTATCAAGGGACTCTACAACCTTCTCAAGCCTGGCGGTCGGATGGTGATCTGCGAGCACGTAGCGAATCCCTGGAGGACCGAAGGCAGAGTCGCTGCACGCTTCATGCAACTGGTGTATACGATCCTTGGATGGCCATTCTTCTTGGGTGGGTGTGAGCTTCAGAGGCATACGCTAGACTTCTTGAGGGACGCAGGTGAATGGGACAAGTTTGATCTCAAGTACTATGGTCCCCAAGATTGTGTGCCGTTCATCGTTGGAGAGCTGATCAAGAAGAATGGCTCGTTGGACAAGAGCTACGCTGAGGCTGTCAAAGAGTAGATGGAGGGTCAAGACGTAATGCGGTAGTTGTACAATGACTGTAGATAGAATGCGGCCGGACCTAGTACAGAGCAAGCCTGCGTGGAACTTGCAGAAATGGCTTCGCTTGGAGGTAATTAAGTAACTAAGATTCATACTGTTGTACATGTGTAATAAAGCAACGCTCAAAAAACGCCCATGTTCATTTCTTCATGGTATTACCGTTTACACCCTGACTCATGACATGATCATGCTACCAGAGACCAACAACACAGAAGCGACAGCCCATCGTGGCCAATACATCTTTCCCGGGGCAGCATTCGCAGTCTGCTCTGGCGCTGTAGCAGCTGCCGTTGGAGAACCTGTTCCCTCCGCGCTGGACAAAACAATTGTTGATACAGTAGCCGGGGTTTCTGCGGCTGAAGATGGAGGTGTGCCGCTCGACGGGACGACCGAGTTCGCTGGCCTACCCGATGCTGCTGAGGTAGGGGTAGGGGTCGCAGCTGAAGAAGGCAAGGCCGCGTCTCCTGGCGCGTTCGCGTTATCCGTGGGTGTAGCACTCGCAGCCGCATCTGACCCACCAGTAGCAGTAGACACTCTGACTATCGTGCTACTCGCTAGTCTTGGTGTTGGCAGGCTACTAGGCAACGCTTCTGCACTGCCACCTGCACAGTCTGCTTGACCACCAAGCTTCACAACCATCCCTACTCCAGCCATCGCGTCCCCTAACCCATTGTCATCTTGGAATTTCGTAATATCAAAGGCCTCGTCGTCTCCTGGCAATTGCAGATCCGTGATCTCTTTCCGTCCCGGGTTCGTGTACATCAGGAAACTGTACTGTCGGTCGTCTCCTTTCTCGCCGACGGAGCCAGGAGCAACGTAATCCAGAACAGCAGGTGAATCGGTCTCGATGTTGGTGATGTCGAAGTTGTTTTTAAAGTTCGCACGAGCGTAATGAAGTTTCCGAGCGTTTGGACATGTGCTATCCACCATGATGATCGTGTACAGCGTGCCAGGGGAGATGCCACTGCTATCGCCAAGAGCGAATGTAGGCTCCTTTGCTACAGCTATACAATGTTAGATTTCGTAGTATATGTTGAGATAAAAGGCTTACCATCTTTCTCGAACACTGTTCCGTCTTTGAAGCCATTAATTGCTTCGCCTGTGAAAGAGACCTGTACTTCGTCTCCACCTGAACGGAATCCTGATCTGAGGTCTTCAGGTATGATGGTGTCGTCTTGCGCTGCGACGAATGCTGCGAAAGCAGCAACGAAAGTTGCATGTTTGAGAAAACGAATAGCCATACTGTGTAGATTTGAGAGAATGCTAGGTGGGAATGATTAGGGTCGAGCGCGCTTAATCGATGATGTTATACTCCCTCTTAAAGTACAATGCAGCCCCAGGATATATATCCCCTCCACCATGTTTGCATACTCTGTACTCCAACGGCGATATTCACGCCGCGTAGTCCTCCCCACACATTCCACTGCGCCCCAAACCCCGGAAGACCGTTGTGTCCGGCAGACGCCGGTGGAAATAGACCTTGGCATCTGAATACTGCTTGATCTCCAGACGATAAGCGCACGATCGCACCATTTCGGGCGGTTTGTTGGCGCCCGGCTGTGCTTGTCAGCTGTTTTGGTTTCATCTCGTTTCGGCAATCAGGCAGCCGGGCGCTTCTGACAAACGATCGGCTTTACTGAGATTCGCGCATCGGCGGCACACCCTTGGTTGCCTCTGGGTTGCGGCAAGTAGGCGAGACGGTACTGTGCCTGAGATGTTGTTGCGAAACTCAGGTGTCACTGCCGAGCCCTTCGTGCCCTTGAACCGCGCGTTCCAACTTAGAGACTCCACGAGAACTACTCTCAGACTGACAGATTTTCATACAACCGCATTTTTCAGTATGAGAGGATTCAATGCTCAGTCTTGTCAACAGTTTGAAGTGTGCTAGCATCAGCGGGAGGACTCGGCTGTACACGGCGCGACAACAAGACTTGGGTGTAGGATACGGTTGTCGCATCTGTATGATACAAACCCTCATAACTACTTGATCAGAAGCCGGCGACAACGATGCAGTACTTCGAGAATCAAATGGAATGCTGTGTCTAAGTGTCTCAGGCCTCTCGCACCGGAGGCAGGGTTGTTCCGGTGCCGCACCACGCCAAGACCCCGGTTTAGCGATTTTTGGCGCCCCACACCACTTTGAAGGTCATCGAATTCAACACCCAGACGCTTCCACACTCGTCAACTCATCACAACCGCCAAAATGACGAAGCGCACA